GGTGAGGAGGGTGTGGATAGCCTCAAAAGGCGAAAGTCTTGGAGAGCCGAATAAAGTGGAGATGGAGCTGGGCACATTACACCGCAATCACCAACACATTTGCATTCTCTTCTTATTGTATGCTTCTCAAATGTTATACAATCACCATGGTCAGAGACAACTATTTCAGGGAATTTATACGACGACAAACGTTAAACTCGGCCGATCAACCTTAAACGTCACCACAAACATTGAGTGCAGAGCCATCAAAAGAACAAGCCGAATATCACCATGGAGGTTGACCTCAAAAGGCATGATTTTGACGAACGCTGTATCTGACCAATGTTAATGTTCTAACGCTTCACGAGTCGAAACAAGATGGCAATTTGTAAGTGATCTTGAGCTCTCCGTCCTTTGAGTTCTTGTTTTACCTTCAAGGGTGACCTTGACAGGTCAGGACATCTTACGGACGTTAGCTCATGCGCTTGTGAATACTTTCATGCTTATTGTTTCCAAATCGGTCGGTACTTTAAGGGTGATTTAGAGTCCCCGTCCTTTCAGCCCGCATTCAGCCCGCTTTTTGTGGTGAATGTTCTGATGTTTGTTAGTTAAAGATCGGCCGGTAATTTTTGGGTGATATGGAGTTCCCCGTCCTTTGAGCACGTGTTTGACCTTGAAGAGTGACCCTGAGAGATCAGGACTTTTTGACAGACGCTAGCTCTTTCTGTGGTAAATGTTCTGATCTTTGTAAAATAAAAATCGCCCGACAATTTTTGGGTGATATGGAGTTTCCAGTCCTTTGAGCCCGCGTTTGGCCTTGAAGGGTGACCTAGAGAGGTCAGGACTTTTTGACGGACGCTAGCTCTTTCTGTGATGAATGTTCTGCTGTTTGCTAGTTAAAAATCGGCCGGTAATTTTTGGGTGATATGGAGTTCACCGTCCTTTGAGCCCGCCTTTGATCTTGAAGACTGACCTTGAGAGGTCAGGACTTTTGAACGGACGCTGGTTCTTTCTGTGTTGAATATTCTGACGTTCTCAAGTTGAAAATTGGCTGGTAATTTTTGGGTGAAATCGAGTTCCTCGTACTTTGACCCAGATTTTGACATGGAAGGTCATATGATGTTGCAAAATAAGAGTCATTTTTGGAGTTCTCATGCCGCAATTGACCTTGAAGCCATTTTTCAGGGAAATCGAAACTCGTTGCTGTAAAAATCGCTGATAAATCGCTAACTTCACGGACATACTGAAACAAAGGTGCCAGAGAAAACCAACATTGATAGCTCACTGATACGCTGGGTACTGTACCTGCTAGCGTTTTTGGGATCTGCAAGTCCGTTCGCAGTGCGTATTTATTGTCAATGAGACTCGGAGACGCTCTTTACGTCCAGCCCCCATCGCAAATCATGGTCACTCCCCCCCCCCCCTTCTCCGTCGCAAAGCAAGTTAGCCCCGCCCCCTCCGTTGAGAAGGCTGGCTGAGCCCCTGGCTTCCAATATTTTACACACGTGAAACATTGGAAAAGTTCGCATGGAAAAAGTTTGTACACACAATGTGCCAACACAAATGTTCGAAGGCCATTGATCGCATAGCAGCGTGTTCGTATGGATAGTACTTATACGGAGAGTGTTTCAGGGTAGATCGATCACCCGGGTATCAAATGGCACACCATGAACTCTCAAAGTTCGCTGACATGATCTCTGCCAACTGATCTCGGACATGACATCGACCGTATAATTTCTAGCTCTATCCTGCGTACAGTTTGCAAGTAAAAGCCTCGGGCATTGATGGGTCGGTCGCAAACGGGTGCGCGCGGGTGCCAGCGGGCGCAGTGCGGGAGCAGCGGGTGCACCTTTCCCTGGACTTTAAGCAAGTAATCCGGGTGTCGTCGGAGCTTTTGCCCCCCGCATTCCACAACCGAGCGACTCCCGCCGCAGCCGTCAGCTGGCGTCAGTGGCGCGCCTCAGCTGGCGTCGGTGGCGCGCTCAGCTGGTGTCAGTGGCTGGCGTCCGTGGCGTGCTCAGCTGGCGTCAGTGGCGCACTCCGTGCTCTGCAGTGAAGAGTTTTAATTTTTGATCCTACGGTCTCAACCATTCCAGGGCCATTTTCAACTGTTCTCATTGGTACGAGTTTATCTGCTGGCCGCCGTTGGGCATGCTAGTGCCATAGAGAGTAAGGCTAGCCATGAAATCTGAATCGACAGATGCCATTATCACTGTCTATAAAACACGAGTGCATTTAATATTTTGTGTGCGCACTTTATCAAGCAGGCTTTAATTTGCAGAAGCTTAAATCCTGAGAAATGTACTAACTTTTCGTACTTACATGATACACCAGCTTACGAACTTTTGGGAAGGTACTTTTGTCAAATGAACTTGGCGAACATTGGCATAATCATTTTGCGTACTTCATCCTACGGTGACATACCAGCATTTGCGTACGTGCTTTTTGTAATACGGACCTCATCTCTGACGATTATCTGCGCACGAACATTTGCAACGATCTTTTTCCGTACGAACTTGTGCGAGCACAAACACTTATGTCGCAAATCTTTCCTCAACGAACAATTTACCACGCGAACCTTATCGTCTACGATTTTTTACATTACGAATTTTAGACACTTCCAACTTTATGCTCCTAACATTCTACCCGGACGAGCTTAATACACGGGTTTAATTCTACGAGTAGCTGCATGCAAGATTTGCACATGCGCATTTTCGTCTGCAGCCCTATGTATGTGAAGTGTATGAGAATAAATGCAGCGCGCGCCACCGTGTGCATCAATACTATTCGCGCCATCTCAGCGGTACAGTTCGCATATGCCAGTCGACGCAGCACTGGCCTTTTGAAAAGCCGGGCATTACGCAAACACATTTACCCGCCACATGTTCGCCAAACAGCCGACCTGTCTGGGCTATCTCATCATTGTGTTCTTCCGCATGCATTTCAGATATCTAATCATAAACATCAGACCGGAACCAGCGGTAAGCCGTCTCTGTGCCCGATGCGTCAAACCCCGGCCTGCTTTTTCATTTTTTTTCTTCCTGCGTGGAACACAGATTTCGAAAAGTTATCATCCATTCTCAATTCAAAAAAGGCATGAACCTCATCGCCATTTGAATGATAAAATCTCGCATCAACACATAAGGCGTAAAAGTGTCTTCTAGGGCCAAAGCGCCTCAATCAAAATAACCTAAGCCGAACTAACCTGTTACGCCGGTGCTGCACACGCGAACTGAAAGCATTGAGAGCGCCGTATGTTTCGGGGCACACTGGTGTCGGTGCCCCTCTAGCTTCGATACTTCATGAATTCAATAACACCCATTGAGTGTTGAGACAATCCTTCAATGACTGCTGTAGATGCGTCGCCAGATCTATCAGGCGCCCTAACCTACACCAGCGACTATGCAGGCTGCTGGTTTACGACGAATATGGCCAAAAAAACTGAAGAACCTGAATACATGCATATATATATATATATATATATATATATATATATATATATAATATATATATATATATATATATCTATATCTATATCTATATTTATATCTATATCTATATCTATATATATATATATATATATATATATATATCCTTGTAGAATAACAAGGAGAATGAAGAGATATGTGTATTGATATTTCGGTCACATGCCTTCATCGAAATGAATTTCAGTAGTCTATAATGTACTACTGAATGCCACTAAGTAGGAATAGGCTAAGAAGACACTATTGATAAATGTTTCGATAAAGCCATGCAGACGAAATGTCAATGCATTTCTCTCTCCATTTTCCTGACTATTCTGTGAGGAACGAGGCTGTTAGTACTGTCTTATCTAGACGCATAATGCTCCTCGCAAATGCGCTCAACAGCTTACGCTGTAAGGTCTCGCAAAATTGCGGGCCCGTGACCAATATGGGAGGCGCCTGAGCGGCAAAGTGGGAAACCATTTATGCTTTGCTCGATCGTAGCATGCCGATAGACGACGCACAACAGGACCCCTTGTTCCAATTTGATGGGGTTGAAGTGCTGCTTCATTTTATCAGGGTTCTTTACCGTTGAACGCAAAACAAGATTAGGTACGTTTTGGTACGCTTAATGCTTTGAGGCGTACCTTAAACGCAGCCTGTTTTCCAGATGGCACAGGCGTGATCACGGTGGTGCCCGTCTCAGACCGCTCCAGTGTTATTCCTTCGAATCAACCCGAAATAAATGAGGAACAGCAGGAAGTTCTTTTTATTTAACAAAATGTCTTAAAACAACTTAACAAATAATATTTCCAAAGGCGTAATACGAATACGGCAACCACAAAGTAGACACAAGGACTCTCTTCCGTGAATGTACAGACCGCTCGCAATCCCAGTCTGTGAGCTCCGACACGCACCGCGTTCGTGCGGGAATGCATGATATTTATCGATCTAAGTCATTATCACCGGATCCACGACATAATACGAAGAAGCGAAAATTTCGAAAGAAACCCGGCCTTCTGTACAGAAGTTTCTAACGTTCCTCAAAGTTCAAAACATCAGGACAATTTAGCACGGCGGTAAGATCTGGGCCGCATCGTATGATGATTCCTTTCTGTGTCGGCTAACAGCACGAAACACAACAACAATCGAAATCCACGGACAATAAATGCAAAACACGGTAGCGTTTACGCATCACACAACGTACGCGCAGGCCGTATGCAACACCATACACTCAAGACTGACCAGCGCGCAGTACAGCATATGCAGCCGACATAGCCCAGCGACGGGAATAACTGTCACGGACAGCGCACACGTGGCAGCTGCCACCCGCCACTACAGCCCGCGCCGCGGAGGCGGCGGCGGAGGCGTGTCCCTCCGAGCCCGCTGGCTCTGCCGCGACCCGACGGCGGCCGAGCGGGCGTCCCGGCAGCGCGCCTCGCCTGACCGGCCGGCGGCAGCGGGCAGCGGGCAGGAGCAGGAGCAGGAGCAGGGCGGGCAGGGGCCGCTCTCCGGCGGCGCCCGACGCGTCCGGTCGGCTTCGCCACCGCCGCGCGCGGGCGGCGCGCCATTGCGGTGCAGCCGGCGGCGGCCCGGCGACCGGCTACACGGCCCACAGTGCGTTGTTGAGCCATAGCCAGTCGATGAACACGTCGGCGAAGCGCTCCTCCTCCGGCCCGTCCGAGTCAGAGTCATCGCTCGACGACGGGTCGTCGTGCATGACGGCCGGGTAGTCGGGCGCCGGACTGCCCTGGCAGAGCTTGACCCGGTCGTCGTCCGGCTCGGCCAGATACAGCTGCTCCAGGTCGGTGCCGCCGACGATAAGCGACAGGCGGCGCCCGGCCGGCAGCTTCGACACCAGCGAGTCGTACAGCTGACGCGAGATGCACTGCACGCAGCTGACGTCCAGCGAAGCCAGCGACCGACATGTCATCGACAGACTGCAACGGAGCGTCACACGTCACTGACGGACCGCAACGGAGCGTCACGCACGTCACCGACGGATTGCAACGGAGCGTCACATCCGTCACCCGCGGACTGAAATGGAGCGCCGCACGCCACCAACGGACTGCAACGGAGCATCACACCCGTCACCGACGGACCGCAAAGGAACGTCACACGTCACCGGCAGACTACAACGGAGCGCCACACACGTCACCGACGGATTGCAACGGAGCATCACACCCGTCACCGACGGACTGCAACGGAGCATCACACCCGTCACCGACGGACTGCAACGGAGCATCACACCCGTCACCGACGGACTGCAACGGGGCATCACACCCGTCACCGACGGACTGCAAAGGAACGTCACACACAGACTACAACGGACGGTGGCACACGTCACCAATGGACAACGGACAGGCCATGGCAGACGAAACAACTGTTACCGTCACGACTGAAGCACAGGGTCACACGGTCCATAGACCGACCGTTGAAATCTCCCCGTTGCGTCACTTTGCACACGGCACAGGCAAGGCACTCTTTCTACCAGGGAGTCGAGGAGCAGCAGATGCTGCGAACAGCTGCACTTTGTCGGCCGACTACCCGATGTTCCGACTGCCGCACCACCGCCGTGCCGGGCTGGGGAGCGGCCGGCCCCCGCGGTCGCCGGCACCACTCACTCGAACAGGCCCTTCTCGGTGAAGGGCGAGCGGGCGCTGTAGTTCTCCCGCAGCAGCAGCGTGGCGAGCCGGGCGCAGTTGGCCAGGCTGCGCAGCACCTCGTCCGTCACCTCGTTCTGGTAGCTGACGTCCAGCCAGGAGAGCAGCGGCAGCCGACAGAGCAGCTGCAGGCCGGCCGCCGGCACGTACTTGTGCGAGGCACCGCCTGGCGGGCAGACGGGGCGGACCGGTCAGTCAGCGGCGGGCAGTCAGAGTCGGGCCGGGGTCACCGGCAGGCGGCCGCCGGGCTGGGGCAGGACGCGACACGTCGCGGCCGCGGCAGACTTCACAACAGCGAGCTTTATAATATCAACACGACCGCATCCGCCGAGTGCCCACTGGCGCATGCGCCCCTGGCACGCGGCTGGCGGGCAGTTGGGGCCGCGCAGTGCTGAGCGGCCCCTGCCGCCGGCTGCCGCCCCCCCCCCCCCTTCCCCGCCCGGCGGCGGCGCACCTCGCAAGTACAGCCGCTCCAGCTTGGTGCAGTAGCTGACCAGCGCGCGAAACGTGTTCTTGTTGATGTTTGGGCAGGCGCCGGCAGCCAGTGACGTCACATTGGGCATCAGCTCGAGGAACTCCTCCGGCTGCACCAGGTTGCAGCCGCTGATGTCCAGGTGGCGCAGGTTCCGACACCTGGGCCAGGTCAGCTGAAGGTCAGAGGTGATACGGCCGCCAGCCCTCCGATGTCCAAGACACGTCTGCGCCCAACACCGACCCGCGGGTCTGCCCTGCGACGACACAGTGCGCCCACATCCCGCCCGTCCCCACGCCGGGTAGGTGGCGACAGCCTGGCTGTGCGTCGACATCGCATCGTCAAAAGGTGCCACGGAAACAGAACTGTCTTTCCCAAAGCCGCAAAGGAGATCGCAACCGGCGGACAATTCAATCCATGCCCGAATGGAAGACCACCACTAAAATGCTAAAAACAGAAACTCCACACAGGATGTGTCCTTTTCCACCCAACATCTCGAGCTCTGACACAACGCAGCCCGGTCCGCACCAGCCACTCCCCTCGAACCCCACCCGTCGCCACGCGCGCGGCGGCGAGCGCGGCCCCGCACCTGGCGGCGATGTGTTTGATGTCGTGTGACGTCACACGCGTCTGGCTGAGGCAGAGCTCCTCCAGCTGTGCGCACCGGTCGCCCACCAGGCAGAAGTTGTGCTCGCGGATGCGCGGGCACGCGCGCAGTGTCACCTTGCGCACCGAAGCCGGCAGCAGGCTGAAGCAGTCTCCCGTCACACTGGTGGACACCAGCTCCAGGATGCGCAGCTCCGTCAGGTACCTGGACGGGGCCGCCAGCGGCGGGGTCACGGAGGGCAGCTCGGGGCAGCTCGCGGTGGCCGACGTCCGGGGAGGGTTGCCCGTGTCGAGGGGAGCAAGAGTGCCCGGGTCATGTTCGGCGTGTGGGTGACACGGCTAGAGACGTGCTGTTTATCCCCTGGGAATGATCGCTCCGTGAACTATGGCTACAACGCCGACACAGTGACGGAAACAGCTGCGATCGTGAAGCCGTCTGACGAAACATACACCCACACACACCTTGCACATTACCAGGTGACGTCGACCGGAGAGATAACAGGCCGAAACCTGGTGTAAATACCAACACCCTACACATGGGCGACCGTCCGATCACTACGCAATCCATGATACCAGTACTTCGTCTCAAACATTTCGTAAAACGAAGAGTCGAAGTTAAAGTCACCTCTACGAACCAATGCTCCCCTGCTATTGGTAACTGCCCTCCACCGGACGCCCTCTGTCCGGCCTGCCGACATCGCGCACTCACTTGAGCAGCACCTCCAGGTTCTGCTCCTTGAAGTTGAGCTGCGGTACATTGATCCGCTGCAGCCGGGGACAGTTGCGGCACAGGTTCTCCAGAGCTCGGAACGACATCCGCAGGCAGCTGATGTCCAGGTCAATCAGCTGCGGACACAGCTTGCCTGCCGACACATGCAACAGACGCGAGGACATCAGTGACCAGAACAGCAGCGACCAAGTGCAGGGGGTACCTCAACATCGGATGGGCGCAGCTCGCGCTTATGCCTTGTGTGATACAGCTCATGCGACGTCCTACGTGATATCGCCACACTTCGTACTCGACTTCCGGCGCCAGACGGCGCCAATGTCTGTGAAGCGGCTCAGCAGGACGTGACGGGCGTCCCGGTAGCGCACGTGATTCAAGTTGAAAATCAGTGCACCTCCGCTGCTTCAGACTGCTTTGAAATGACCTCAACGGTTACTACGTGATATCGCCGCTTATGTCTTGCGGCTTGAGAGCCAGGAAAGCCACGAATGTTTGCCCCTCCAGTGACATCACTGACGTTTAGCGATGTCATCAAATAAAGTAACATATGGCTGCAGAAAAACTTCTATGGAAGCAAACAAAAGTTATAAAAACAATTTCCACGAACTCATTCTACAGTTCACATAACCTGCAGACCGCAACTTTCGATTTTTCTGAATGCCTCCTTGACGTCATATGTACAGATGATTTTTACACACAGGGCTGCATACAGATATAAATATTGCAAAAACCAAACAAAAACGACCGAACAAAAGCCATCGTGAAAAATCCGTTAAAAATGGTGACAATCACGGTACGGGAAACGGTACTGTGCAAGTCCCCTGCAGTTGTGGTCGCAAATCGCGTCTTCTTCGGATAGATAAACAAACCTACGCCAGCACTTTTTCCAGTCTTGGCAACTGTTGCGCGTTTGATCGCCAGTAACTGTTGGCTGTACTGACAAGTGAGTGAACCTATGGCAATGAAGGACTCATGAGGACTCAATGAGGCAATGAAGGACTCACACTTTCTCATGCATCACTGCATTAATCACGGATATTGATTGCGATTTGTGAGGTATGATTTTGTGTAACCCAAGAAAGGTTGAGTGCAACACACTCTCACAACAATAGCCGAATGCAGTGTGTTTATTGAAAGGACTGTTCTAATTGACGCTCAATGAAATCCGGCTAAGGTTTTCAAAATTTTAATTGTTATTGTAGTATTTTTCTGTGAAATGTTTGCTTAAAGCTGTTCAATTTGTGCATCCTGGTTAACTGGTGTGCCATGTATGCCATGGGATTTCTGTCACCGTCGTCACTCCTGTTAAAAAATTAGAAACGTTTGTTTCATAATTTGTGTCTGGCAGCACAATCTGGTTTTGTCATGATTTTAAGGCGTAACGAATAACAAAAATATATTCTTCTGCCGTTTTGGCATGATTTTAAAGCTCAGTGAATAACAAAAAATACATTCGTTTGCCCGCTACAAGGTTTGGCCCGCAAATGCTTGCCAAGTCTAGCCCACGGCCCAGCTAAAAGCCCGCAGGCACTTGCGGGTCAGAAATTGGCGGGTTGGCGGGCTGAAAATCTGCATCTCTAGTCCGTCACCAGCGCAGGTCTGTACAGCCCATCTGCCCTCATCGTCACGCTTTTGTTGAACAAAGGAAATTCCAAACCAAGAAAAGTTGTGCGTCATCAATTGGTGCAAACAGCACTAAGCACTGAAGTCGGTGAGGTGACACAGGTGATACCGGTTGGCCAATTGTCGGTTGCCCAATTGTAAATTGACACCAATCGACAGGGTACAGTCGCCCATAGCAAGCGCCTCCGCCAGATTCCCTGGTACCGCGAATTCCGTCCCTCCGTTGCAAACGGACTGCCGCAGCAGCGACGCCGCTCAACGAGCGTCCATGCATGAAATCCGGCGGCCGCCTGCCGAGCCTGCCGCGGACGTCGGGCGCGGGCCGGCGCGCACTGACCGATGCTGAGGATGCCGTTGCGGGAGAGCCGTGCGCCGGCCGGCCCCAGCTCCAGCTTTTGCAGGTTCGGCAGCAGCTGCAGCACATGCTTGAACCGCTGGTCGGTCAGCACCGGGTGCCGCTGCAGGTGCATCGGGCCGAAGTACCGGTTCAGGTTGATCTGACGCACTGAGCGAAGGCTGAGCTGGCACAGCTCCCTCCAGCGGCGGCACACTGTCAGGCACAGGCACAGCGCTCTACAGACGCCGTATACTGCGGAGAGCGACCTGACACACGCGCACGCAGCTCAGTCTAGCGGTCACGCTGTCAGCAGACGCTTGTCATGAACAGTCCGCTCCAGCGGCGGCACACTCTCCGACAGGCGCCTGCTACAAGCAGCTCGGTGAGCAGTCGTACACTGCAAGCGGTCACCTATCCGGCACCGCCGATACCAGCGGCACCGCCATCGGCCATCACCTGGCACCAGTTGTCAGCTCAGCGTCACACCACCAGCAGTCACCAGTCGGCATGACTCCCCAGTGGAGCGCCCGGCGTCCCCGCCTCCCCCACGCAGCCGCCCGTCCCGTACCGGCGCGCACGCGGATCCTGTCGCGCACGTTCAGGTGCGCCAGCAGGTAGAGCAGCACCTCCTCGGGCAGGCCGTTGATGTGCGGTGCCGCCGGCGGCCGGGGCTCGGCGGCCGGCGGCGCGCGCCGCCGCTCGCTGCGCCGCCGGCCGCCGCTGGCCGGCCGGCGGCGCTTGGCCGGCGCCGCGGTGGCCCATCCGGCCGCCGACGGCGGCGTCGCATGCTGCGTGCGCTTCCGCAGCCGCTGCGACCCGCTGTCGGCGTCCATGGAGGCGACGCGGCCGGCACTGCGGGCGGCGGGTTACGGACGGGCAGCGTGAAGGTGCGGTGGTCCGCTGGTCAGGGCCGTGGACCGTGACCACGGACGGCACGACGGCACGGCACTGCTGAAGACGGCACGGCACGGAGAGCGCGGGCTGAAGACGGCACGGCACGGAGAGCGCGCCATTACTCGACCACCGACCACGCGAGATGATTAACTATCTAGCTTCCAAGACTGTGAATACATATGAGTGCTGAATTGCTTGCTAGGCAGTGCAAACTGCCATTGGTCTGATATGTGTGTTAAAAGTTGTCCTGGCTTGAGTAACTATTTGAGCAAATAACATTTATGTTGACTACAAGCAAGGCCAACAGTCAAGTGTGTTATCCCATAACTGGCACTTTTTAAGCTTTAACAGCCTTCATAGTTGTCACTTGTCATATCAGTAAGCACTGTTCAGTAAAAGGAGTTTAAGTATTGAACTGCAATAATGCCATATTTGCATGCATGCTATGGCAGCAGTAGGCATTTTCCTGCAACACTGCAGGATGCCAGAACTTCCCTCCCCCATCCTATCCAGATGGGAACAGGTCTAGGCATAAGCAAACCTGTAGGCCAGGCTGTGCAGCTGGTCATGTCCACCTTGGTGCCACCCTGGGATCCACACCTTTCAATGCAGTTAGGGATTCACAATCTTTGAACATTTAAATGATTGCTGTCTGACAAGCAAATGCAAATGGGTTTGATAAAGATCTGTCACTAACTGCCTGATGAGGTGGAATATAATGCCTCAAAATCAATGGGCAATCTTATCACTGGGCAACTCAAAGGTGTGTCAGTGGCTGCCCAGGAAGTGATCACTGCTGCTTTTCAATCAGCTCTTGAATGCCCACATGGGATGTGGCTTAACTCAGGGCTGGGCAATGGAAATGGCACAGGCATGATATCCAGCTCCATGCTGTCAATATTCACCCAAAATATAAATGTTATGTTGTGACTTCTTTGACTATGCTAAAAGAAAATGTGCATTAATCAAACCCATCAAAGCCTTATCCAGAACATGTTTGAACTTGTCTGCTGCCAGGTCATCACCAAGTCATGTTTGTTGTGAATAGGTGCCCAACTGTACCTTGGCAAACATTTCTTTCTTCTAAAAGAAATGAAAAAAGAAATGCCCCAGTACAATGATCAGAGCCATTACCATGAGTTCCCACAGCTTATTTTCCTCTCAAAACAAATATCATAGGCTAAAACACGTTTTGCCCCAAACTACCATTGGTTTGGTTCATGCCTGCATAACTGCTTTTTTAAATACCAGCCATGTCCCTTCCAGTGCACTCCAGTCACCTGATCTCAAAATTATTCATGCAAATGGCATCTAACTATTGGAGAATTCATGCTGATCCTGATTTTCTCATTGAGTTCAGACATGTCCCAGCATTGACATAAATATTTGAATTAGTCCTGCATTTGTTCCATCATGAAAACTGCTATTGATCCAAATGTTGCTGGTTTGTACAATGCCATATGCATAAAATACTTTAAGCATATGAAATATGAAGTTTTTAATATAAATCTATAAGTAGGCATGGTAATATAACTATCTAAAGCATCTACCATATCTATAAGAGACAATACACATGGAAAAACTATGATATGCTTCATATGCATCTTTCATACATAAACTAGGTAGCTACCCTTAAGCTGTCTTTCAAAACCAGTTGTGAATTATAAGACATGTTGTTCAGTGGTATTTTGAAAGTATTTATAACTGAACATCAATTTTTGTTCACATGTGAACAACTCTTAAAATCACTGCTATCTTTAAGCATAGCTGTTCAAGTTTCAGTGTGCCTAGATTGTCAGGTTTCCTCTTGTTACATATTATCATACATTTGAAGATATTGGCCCAGAAATAGCATAATATATATGCAAAATATAAAGGAGATTATAAATGCAAAACTTAGTTTCTTCATACACATCTAAATTTTCTTTTGACTGTTTTATAACCAAGCCAGTTTTCACCATGTCTTACACCAGCCTAGTGACCGATCACTACCACCTGGTACTGGTTTTTCATGGTGATGATTTGTTCCATAGCATAAAAAACAGCTTGCACAAGTGGCAATGCCCTAGGTCTCCATGGTTTGAAGGGATTACAATACCATCTCCTGGACTGGAGCTGTTTCTTGTTCTAAGGCAACTCAAATTGTAGGATATGAGCAAGCCTCATCTCTTTAACACAAGGCTCAAGTCACTGATAGGCTCAAGTCCCTCACAGAAGAAAAAGCAAGTCATTATCATAAAGAATATTCAGCAGGCTGCATAGTAAACTTCTGCCTCACCATCTCCTCCAGCTGAGTGGAGTTGAACACAAAAGAGCTAATCTTCAACACCCTTACATGGCATTCATACCTGAGATGACAAAGCAAGACACCATTTGGCGATCGTCATACGACCACGGCATAATATATATTTTCCTGATTTGTTGAGAGAAATACTGGCGCATTCGTCACGTGCTACGGACGCTTCATCCGGTTCTCCACTCATAGAGCCACCAAAGTAATGCTGGAGCTGCTCGATATAGACCAGCAGCCATCAGGGAGAACTGTTGAATCTGAAAAGGCCTTGTTACCGATACATAGGCATATTCTGGCAGCCACAATGGGGACTTACGAACGGCAGTAGGCAATGATCCCCACTCACTCCTTTGCTCTAGGACGTAAACACAATTTAATGCAAGGTAAGCTCAGAGTGCATTGCGAACTGTTCGCTAAAACGCTGCAAAGAGAAATACTGTTGTATATTCACGGTTGTTATTTATTACCTTGGTTGGTAACTTCTCAATGACCACGGATGGAATAAATACTTGAGCTATCATATTAGTTTCGTGTATAAGTGGACACACAGTATTTCAGCAAGTTAACTCTCCGGTCGTCGTCAGGTGTTATTGAGCGCTGAGAGGGGTTGGATAATGGGCTATTAGCCATCAGGCGTCAAAACCCGAATTCTCTCCTTGGAATTGCCGGGATCTTTTAATTGCAGGTCTTCAGTGTTTTGCAAATTGGTGCTCTACCAAATGAACTACCGGGACAGGACCTGGACGAGCACGGCAGCCCGAACAGCATTTTCATCCGTGATTATTTTACTTCGTCTCAATCCCCCCTAAAACTGTGGCCGCAAGGAAATTTGACAACATCGACGAGGCTTTATGTTGAAGTTCAGCATATTGCATGGGCGTTCATCGAATTATTCATGATTAACATGTCATATGATGTGATTTTATGGTTCGTCATATGTCATAAGGTGTGCAAACTGGGAAACATTCATTTCCATCCAACTGGTCTTGGTGCTCAAACTCGTGAAATATTGTTGCTCCGGCGAATTAGCAGCCAGATTTTTAGTATATTTATATATAGAACAGCATGTCAATGCAAATTTAGAGCTCAAAATAGCTGCGGTGGCTAAATTCGATGTTTTGTGATAGCTAATCTAAAGCATTTATTTCTTTAGAAATTGTAAATGCTAACAAGCTAACACAAAAAATAATAAATATTACGCAAATAATTGCCAGTTACATTCTGGTACATTTATGGCGCATCTACTCCATTTATGATTTCTCCACCCGCCAAGATTTACTGACGTTTTAGGTTTGGGGGATTGGTTGAGTCGGGGGCAGGCGTTGTATTTGCTGTGCGGTTTAGTAGTGTAATGCAAACTGGTATTTGCGTGCAAGAGCTGGTGATGGATGATTAGGGGTTGTTCGACGCGTTGAGTGTGAAACAGAGTGAGTTAATACACGTGGCACGCACCATTTTGTGACTTTGGTGTTCAGTGCATGCTCATTACGGGATGTGTGACATACTTGTTGGTTTCTTATTATAATGGGATTGAGTCTCACCTTTATCTAGCTTTAAAGCAACACCCAAGTCACATTCTGACCATTCTGAAACCATGGTGTCTGCTCCTCCAGCCACTATCAGGATGAGAGGTGATGTCAGATAGTCTTGGCATCTGAATGTGGGATTAAACCTCAATGACACAGTCTGGACATTTTACGGCATCTGGATTCATTATTTGGGATGTTTTTCACCGTTCAATCCCAGTTTCAACATACAGGAACATTTATTTTATTGTGAAAGAGGATAAATGGTTATTTGTGTGCAACTGTGCCGAATTCATCTTTCTATACACACATTCAAATATATACCTGCCAAAATATTTTGAATAATCAAATGAAAAGATATTTCTAACAATAAATGGTGAATAGGAAACAATTCATGAAAAGCCCTGTAGCATAACAGCAATACTTTTGGTACAAAAGGAACTATGTCTGATCAATAGAGCATACCTATGGTAACAGGCACTGAGGTGAAGGGTGTGGGATGGGTTTGCAAAAGTCTAACAGCAAAGAATAAATGCTGTCAGTGCTGCTCATGATATCCTAGCCCACAGATTACACTACTTTTGATTTGTGCAGTACCTCAGTGATAAGATGCAGACTGGATCAAAGTGAGCCAGAAATGATGCAAAAGGTTTACTTATAAAGTGACCAGTTTTCATGCCAAGGAGCAATGGTGGGTGAGGTAAATGTGTCCTTTATGTTTCAAACAGAGTAATTTTCAGTTTCTATCATTGGGGTAGACATCATATGTGTGGACATAAATCCTGGTGTCTCACATGCAGTTATCATGAGAGTTACTTATGAACAGAAGGTATGCTGTTCTGCTAACACATCCAGCTAGGATTCTTTGTGACATCACATACATTGGTTATGATCATGGCACTTGCATTCAGATTGTTTGAGACAGCTGTGATT